TGCCACGAGGCACGGATTACTTGGGAAAACTTACTTCCTTGCACGTCCTGGGATGCATTCTTTTCGATGGATATTCGTAGCTGGATGATCTCTAACCTTTCCGGCAGCTTTGCCTCCGATGTGGATGATTGGGTGTCGCGGTTGTAGAGATGGAGAAATTTGAAAATATTTCAGGGTCGCGACATCACACTGGCCCAACGGTTGGGAGAGATCTTCTCATTTGTTGATCAAACGCGTGGTTTAAGTTCTATTAGCCGTAAGGTCGGCTTTCCCGGGGGGTGTGTTGAGCGGTGGATTTCGTGGTCTTGTCCGTCGGAGGGTGAGCTCAAGGTCAATACAGATGGGAGTTTTTTGGCCACTACGGGTATGGCGAGTGCAGGGGGCGTCGTCTGAGACCATCGCGGAGGATGGATTAGTGGTTTCATGATGAATATTGGATTATGTTCGATTGTCGGGGCCGAACTTTGGGGTTTATTCCACGGGCTACACCTTGCCTGGGAGGTGGGAGGTAGAGCGATTGTTGTGGAAGTGGATAATAAGAGTATTATTGCGCTGGTTCATGACGGAGAGTATGATGGACCACACCTGAGCTTGGTGAAGGGAATTCGTGAGCTGCTTCAGAGGTCCTGGGTGGTGAGGCTTACACATGGGTATAGGGAGGCGAATTTTGTGCCGGATTATTTGGCTTCCCTTGCAGCAAGCGGCCCAGATGGTTATCATCGGCTGGATTGCCCCCTGTCGGGGGTCGGGGTTTGGTTAAATCATGATTTAATGGGTGTGGCTCGCCCTCGAATGGTGGCTACATAGTTTTCTTTCTCTAGGCTTTTCCTCCTTTATTGTACCAAAAAAAAAAGTGGATATTAAAGAAAATATTCTCCTATTGGGCCTTTAAAACCAAGGAAGAAGGAAGAAAGAAGCGGCCCAAGAAGCGTCCTTGGCAAACTTGCCAATCTCTTAACTCAGTAGTCGATCCCTCAAGGATGTTGATCCAACCTTGTATCTTTCTTTGGAAGAATGACGATCTCCCTTATGTGGACACGGAACCTAGAAAACTTACTGATAAAGCGACAGTCCAGTCTGTCACATCATCAAAAGTCGAGATTTTGCATGCAGACACGTGGCACAACCCTACATCCTTAGTTGGCCTATAACATAATTTATTGCACCTTTTTTTTTCGTGTATCTTTTGCAATTTTTTCCTTTCGGCTTCTCTTATTGGTTTAATTTCAGTTCTTTTTTAAACTCTGTATTAATTATTCTGTAGCTCCCAATAAAACCCACTAAAACGTATCTCGAATCAATTGTCGGTCGACCCTCAATAATAATAATAATTATTTAAATATTTTTGTAGATAATAAATTAGTCATGATCTATCATAATTACAACAATTATATTATCTATTAAATTTTATGAAATCAACATAGTAATTCACGTGTAGTTAAGTAGTTTATATCTACACTATTCATTTACTAATCGAATTTGTAATTATCTTTTTTATAGTTTTAAAATCATAGATAAATATTCATTTATAATATTTTATAAATTATATTTGTACATGTTTATAGATTTGACTACTAATTTATGTCAAATGGCTCAACTAATTTAATAATTAGGCACCACAGGGCGTAAATCATCTTCAATCGTAGATGAATTGGCACCACGTGGTGTAATGGCGTCAATAGACCCACCTTAGAAAGATGTAAGACTATCTTTATTCATAACCCAACTCAACCCAACCCAACCCAATTTTTTTAATAAAATACTCATTTCTCTCTCCTCCACTTACACAACCCACAACCCAATTCTATTTCTACTTTTATCCATGACACCAACCCAACCTTAATATTTTTTCTTTTCACTTTATTTTTAAATAAAATTAGATATATTAATTTGTATTAAATTAAAAAATAACAAAAATATATAATTATAATGTAAAAATATTACCGTTCATTTAAATAATAGATATTTAACTTAACAATAAAATAAAAATTATAAGAGTTCAAATATAAAATTAGAAATAAATAAACTGAGTTACAAATAGTTACATAAAATTACAACAGAAGTGAAAATTACATATTTAATTACGAGTTCCGAATTTTTCCCATATGTGCTCAATCAAATCATTTTGAAGAGAACGATGAGCTTCTCTGTTGCGAAGTTGATCCCTATTGATCATATAAGCAGATAAACTCGAAATGCGTTGTGTAGAGTAGTTGAGTTCAACATCTTGTGATTGGACTCTTGTAGGTATATCCGTAAGAAATTTTGTGGGATCATAATAGTTTTGATATGTGTCTCGTTCATCCTCCACTATCATATTGTGCATAATGATACAAGCCATCATTATTTTTCCCATCACTTCCTTATCCCAAATGAGATATGGACGTCGAAGATATG